TCCCTTTTTGTTATGTATGATCGTTCGGTATTTTATTTTGTAAATCGTTCGGTCATGTTTGCTTATCCTATATAGCTTATGGTAACTCTTTTTGTAAGGCTGTTCGGCCGTAAGCGTACGTTCGGTTTTTAGTGTAAAGACTGATCTGAATTATTAATTAATGTGATTATTCTATTATATAATTTTGGACTGTATTTTTGGGATGTTACACTTCCCCGAGCCCCAATGACGCAACAATACATCTATAGCCACATTGACCATCAACAACGACATCAACCACATTGAGAATATATGGTTGACAAATAGGATGAAATTGGTTTATCATAGGTACTCTCCTTCGTTGCCTAGGTTTATCCTTTAGTTGAATTTTTTTTTTTTGTAGACGAAGATTCAATTGTTGACTGAAATGTGTCTACATGCTCAAAATATGAGGGATCACGCTTTGTAGACCTCTCTGTTCTCTGAAGTTTTTTCTTCTGTGCACCCTTCGTGTTAACTTTATCTAATGGAGGTATCATAGATGTCATTGCAGGACAAACAATGTCAATTAACTTTTGTTTAATCGTCACTTTACCTCTAATCTCAACCTCCTTAAATTTTTCTTTAACCATAGCAAGCTCACGTTGTATGGATAACTCTAGCTGTGATTCATTTGATACAATATCTGAAATAGACAATCTTGTCCACATCACATGAAATTCACTCAAAGGAATCATACCAGGGGCATAACGTGCTAATTCACAGGCACAGTGGACACCGTACGTCCGTCTAAGTATGCATCCACATCTTCCCCTATCGAGACCTATAAGATTTACTCGTTATAATTCTTTAGCTATTAGTCCCAAAGCATATCTGGATACTCGTCCAACAAGTCTTTTTGTATTTTATGCCTTTATAAGCTTCACTCATAAGATTCAGACTATTTTCGAACGACGCTTTGATCTTTTTATGTTGCAACATAATGACATTATGAATGGCATCCCAACAAGAACAAAGATCTCCCATACTGTTTCCCAATAATTTTTTTAAGTTCTAATGAGCAGGCTCAACCCTAGCAAAAATAAATCAGCAATATTATCAAATATTCAAATACAAAATAAACTAATATAACATTAAAACATACCTGTTTGTTGTTGTATTCCCTAAATGCATAACGTTGTTTGTCCAAGCCTTTACAAAATAAGTATTGTATGGAATAATCCAAGTATTATTCACATATTCAAAGAATAAAAGCCATGAGCGACATGTGTATTCTAGGTGATTCACACAGTCACCAAACATAGATTCATCTTCACAATTCATGACGTTCTCCCATGCTTCCATTATGACACCCCATGCTTCCACACAATCAATTAACATTTTGCACTTCGCTTTGACATTTTTACTAATATGGAAGCGACATAACAACTGATATGACTGAGGAAACACATTGCCAATGGAATTCATCAAAGACAAGTCTCTATGGCTGACAATGACTTGTGGATCGGCCTCAGATGTCAAAAATAAACCGCTAAGCTTTTGAAGAGCCCAAGTGAAATTGTTTTGACGCTCACTTGATAAGAATGCAAATGCGGCTGAGTAGGTTAACCCAGTATATGTCATACCAACGATCTCTAACAATGGCAACCGATATTTATTTGTTTTATAAGTTGAATCCATTAACAAAACAACATTAAATGCATTCAATAACTTGTGTGTCCAAAAGAGATCACTGACAACCTCAGAATCCTCCACACATCTACTCCAATGTATGTATTTGTCGCGATCCAACATCATCATCAACTGTTGCAGCTCAGTTCTCGACCCTCTCAATGAACGTTTGTATGTATATCTTGTTGTGTAAACTTGCTTTATTGTAGTTACATTATGATCATTATTTTGTTTCAGAGTCAACAAAATATTTGCCGGTGTTACTTGGGTTTTAGTCATATGAACAAGTACTGCTTGTTCAGTAGGATTTAACCTACCAGCATAAGGATGCCCCACTAAAGTTTCTGCTAAATCATGGTTGTGGTATCCATATCACTTGCAATACCCACCCATCGCCATTACCAGATGATTTGCCCATTAATTGGAAAGGACAATCACATTTTCGAGTCCCATACGTACTAGGTTAGACATCGGGTTTGTGTTTTCTATATTTTCCACCTCTTTCACATCCTAACAACACAAACGTCTTCCTCCCAGGTTGACCGGTAGCTTTATCGGATCTTATAGTTACCACAACAAATCCTAGATCATATGCAATCCTTCTTACCCATTCAATTAAGTTTTCACAAGAGGAAAACATTTCATTTGTTGTGAAATGATTCGTCAGATCTCCTTGAGCAACCTCATTTATAAAGGACGAAGATTCTGATAACATACTACAATTTATTTTAGAATTCATCCCACAACGATATTCGTCCATTTAGACTATAATCACCTATAACAAAATAAAAAAAATAATATAAAAAATTTNTCGAGGCATGGTCAGATGGACCATTCTCGGTCCGATAGACGACGTAGCCGTAGCCGTAGTAGAAGCCATGACCATCCCTTACGAGGGCACATTAACACTATATCAGGAGAATTCGCAGGTGGGGGTTCATCCTCGTCCGCTCGAAAGCGAAATGTGCGAGCTTTGCGGTCCGTCCACTCGCTGGACAAGCCACGGAGAACCATGCCGCCCATCACCTTCACGGATGACGATTTCCATGCACCAGATCCCGACCAGGACGATCCTATGGTAATTACGGCAGAGATCGCCCGGTATAGTGTCAGCAAAGTATTGGTCGACCAAGGGAGCTTGATGAACATCCTCTACTGGAAAACATTCCAAAAGATGGATATCTCGGACGACCTGATCATCCCACACAACGAGCAAATAATAGGTTTCGTGGGTGAAAGGGTGGATACTCGAGGCTATGTCAATCTGCGCACTCGTCTGGGAACCGGTCAGGACATCGAGGAAAATAGGGTTAGATACTTGTTGATGGAAGCTAACACCTCCTATAATGTGTTCTTGGGTCGACCGTGTCTTAACGCCTTCGGAGCGATCGCGTCAACCCCACACCTTACCTTGAAGTACTCGTCTGACAGGGGCACGATTTGCATAGTTCGAGCGGATCAGAGGACGACGAGAGAATGTTACGCGGTTGGCCTAAAACTTCACAGTCGCCGGACGATCAGAAGAAAAGCGAGTGCGTCGGAAGTGGCCATGTCAGACCTTGATCCATGAACAAACACCGAAGACCGACTTGAGCTGCTGGGGGAGTCACAACCATTCTTGGTAGGGAGAGACGCCTCTCAAACTACGATTATGGCCCGTGGGCTGGAACCAGGGCTGGAAAGAGAGATCAGGTCCGTCCTGTGGTGAAACAAAGACTTGTTTGCGTGGACGGCCGCTGATATGTCGGCAATCCATCCCTCGGTCATGTCACACAAATAAGCATTGTTTAAGGAAGCGCGACTGGTAGTCCAGAAGAAGCGACGAATGGGGGAAGAGAAGAGGAAGGCCGTGGAGGAGGAAGTGAGGAAGTTGAGGGAGGCGGGATTCATCAGGGAAGTGATGTATACCACATGGCTCGCCAATGTGGTTATGGTCAAAAAAGCCAGTGGAAAGTGGCACATGTGCACCAACTACACTAACTTGAAGAAATCCTGTCCCAAGGATTCCCACCCTTTTCCCATCATTGACGCGTTAGTTGACGGAGCCTCAGGCCACAAAATGTTGAGTTGATTTTTCTCTCTGTCGTGCTCAGTCATTGACTAGCATTCAGTTTTCGTGATGCTAAACTTAAATAAGCTAATTTTTCATAAGCGTTTGGGTTCTTAAGGGGAATCCTTCTAAGTGTCTTGAAGTGTCTACACCCATTGATTCCGGCTTAGAGCCTTAGTACTTGACACAGTCCTTTTTGGTGTTCGGTTGGAACTCTCAAGAGTCAGTTTATCTAATTGGCTCACTTTGTATATAACGTTCGTTCTAATCGTTCTTGTGATATATAGTTGTACTCGGTTTCTTTCTCAAACCGACAATGACCTCTTAGTCTTATCCTATTCTAGAACTAGAGACTTCACTGTCTCGTTCCCAGTGTTCGTACTCGTTCTGAGTGAGGATTGAACGTTCGATATCTGGTGTCCTTGAAAATCTTTAATGAAAGATGAAACTAAGATGATTGATAATGAAAGATGAAGAGAATATGATATGAATAAATGTGTTGGATTATGAACGAGCGTTCCGGGGAGGAACGACTCATGAATGAATATTGGAATTTGTAAAGTATGAATGTGGTTATGCTAAGTTGGTGGTTCATCCTGATGTTCCGTGAGTACTTGTTCTCACGTAGAGGAGGGTAGGTCATGTGTGGGAACGATAGGAGGTCCTAGTCTTTAGGGGTACTTTGGATAGATAGGACTAACCTTGGGTGGCAGCTGATGAGGACATTCCAGTTACTACATCACCCGGGTGCACAAACGTCGTAGCTACACATATTTCATACAGTCCGGACAGTCAGTATAGTATTAAGCTTTATATGAAACGTATGACGAAATATATCTTGTGTGTATGATTTTGTGAAAATGTATGTTTATACATGAATTAAATTACATAAGCTTACCCTGTGTTCCTGTCTTGTCGTGTTTTGTACGTTCGTCTTGTCATTGCAATGATCATCCGTGTGGATGTGAGCAGAAGGAGACGAGCTGTTGGAAGATGCGCTAGAAGAAGAGAACCTGGTCGAGGTAGAAGTGAAGACCGAAGAGTAGGACGTTCAGTCAGTAGTCTAGTTATTGTAAGGTGGTCGTTCGATCACCTTCCCTTTTTGTTATGTATGATCGTTCGGTATTTTATTTTGTAAATCGTTCGGTCATGTTTGCTTATCCTATATAGCTTATGGTAACTCTTTTTGTAAGGCTGTTCGGCCGTAAGCGTACGTTCGGTTTTTAGTGTAAAGACTGATCTGAATTATTAATTAATGTGATTATTCTATTATATAATTTTGGACTGTATTTTTGGGATGTTACACTTCCCCGAGCCCCAATGACGCAACAATACATCTATAGCCACATTGACCATCAACAACGACATCAACCACATTGAGAATATATGGTTGACAAATAGGATGAAATTGGTTTATCATAGGTACTCTCCTTCGTTGCATAGGTTTATCCTTAAGTTGAAATTTTTTTTTCGCAGACGAAGATTCAATTGTTGACTGAAATGTGTCTACATGCTCAAAATATGAGGGATCACGCTTTGTAGACCTCTCTGTTCTCTGAAGTTTTTTCTTCTGTGCACCCTTCGTGTTAACTTTATCTAATGGAGGTATCATAGATGTCATTGCAGGACAAACAATGTCAATTAACTTTTGTTTAATCGTCACTTTACCTCTAATCTCAACCTCCTTAAATTTTTCTTTAACCATAGCAAGCTCACGTTGTATGGATAACTCTAGCTGTGATTCATTTGATACAATATCTGAAATAGACAATCTTGTCCACATCACATGAAATTCACTCAAAGGAATCATACCAGGGGCATAACGTGCTAATTCACAGGCACAGTGGACACCGTACGTCCGTCTAAGTATGCATCCACATCTTCCCCTATCGAGACCTATAAGATTTACTCGTTATAATTCTTTAGCTATTAGTCCCAAAGCATATCTGGATACTCGTCCAACAAGTCTTTTTGTATTTTATGCCTTTATAAGCTTCACTCATAAGATTCAGACTATTTTCGAACGACGCTTTGATCTTTTTATGTTGCAACATAATGACATTATGAATGGCATCCCAACAAGAACAAAGATCTCCCATACTGTTTCCCAATAATTTTTTTAAGTTCTAATGAGCAGGCTCAACCCTAGCAAAAATAAATCAGCAATATTATCAAATATTCAAATACAAAATAAACTAATATAACATTAAAACATACCTGTTTGTTGTTGTATTCCCTAAATGCATAACGTTGTTTGTCCAAGCCTTTACAAAATAAGTATTGTATGGAATAATCCAAGTATTATTCACATATTCAAAGAATAAAAGCCATGAGCGACATGTGTATTCTAGGTGATTCACACAGTCACCAAACATAGATTCATCTTCACAATTCATGACGTTCTCCCATGCTTCCATTATGACACCCCATGCTTCCACACAATCAATTAACATTTTGCACTTCGCTTTGACATTTTTACTAATATGGAAGCGACATAACAACTGATATGACTGAGGAAACACATTGCCAATGGAATTCATCAAAGACAAGTCTCTATGGCTGACAATGACTTGTGGATCGGCCTCAGATGTCAAAAATAAACCGCTAAGCTTTTGAAGAGCCCAAGTGAAATTGTTTTGACGCTCACTTGATAAGAATGCAAATGCGGCTGAGTAGGTTAACCCAGTATATGTCATACCAACGATCTCTAACAATGGCAACCGATATTTATTTGTTTTATAAGTTGAATCCATTAACAAAACAACATTAAATGCATTCAATAACTTGTGTGTCCAAAAGAGATCACTGACAACCTCAGAATCCTCCACACATCTACTCCAATGTATGTATTTGTCGCGATCCAACATCATCATCAACTGTTGCAGCTCAGTTCTCGACCCTCTCAATGAACGTTTGTATGTATATCTTGTTGTGTAAACTTGCTTTATTGTAGTTACATTATGATCATTATTTTGTTTCAGAGTCAACAAAATATTTGCCGGTGTTACTTGGGTTTTAGTCATATGAACAAGTACTGCTTGTTCAGTAGGATTTAACCTACCAGCATAAGGATGCCCCACTAAAGTTTCTGCTAAATCATGGTTGTGGTATCCATATCACTTGCAATACCCACCCATCGCCATTACCAGATGATTTGCCCATTAATTGGAAAGGACAATCACATTTTCGAGTCCCATACGTACTAGGTTAGACATCGGGTTTGTGTTTTCTATATTTTCCACCTCTTTCACATCCTAACAACACAAACGTCTTCCTCCCAGGTTGACCGGTAGCTTTATCGGATCTTATAGTTACCACAACAAATCCTAGATCATATGCAATCCTTCTTACCCATTCAATTAAGTTTTCACAAGAGGAAAACATTTCATTTGTTGTGAAATGATTCGTCAGATCTCCTTGAGCAACCTCATTTATAAAGGACGAAGATTCTGATAACATACTACAATTTATTTTAGAATTCATCCCACAACGATATTCGTCCATTTAGACTATAATCACCTATAACAAAATAAAAAAAATAATATAAAAAATTTTAAATTTATATTATAAAATAAAAAACTAATACAATACATTGCACAATTATAAATTTATTAGCAATATAATCAACTAAAAAAGAACGCCAAATTAAATAAACTTAAAACTATATAAAAATTTATTAAAATTTTTCATATACATATTTTTATCCAAAAAATTATAAAAATTAAATATTTAAAATTCATTTTTTATATTAACAAAAATTAATAATTATAGAAATGAAATTAACTAGTTTTATAAAATGTTTTATACAACAAACCTAGTTAAATAATATTAATAAAACTACATGAAAAAATAATTATAAAGTAATAAAATACTAATAAAATAATTCAAACAGTAATATAATTAAAGTTTTACATATAACATATATTACACATTCATCATGATATTTCACGATCTCCGATTTCTATAAATTCAGTTTTTTATATCCTATAGGTATAAGGTTGTCTTTCTTCCAAATATTTTTTATTAATTTTAATAAATTTTTTTAAATTATTTAATATTAATTAAAAGTTATATAGTTACATTATAAACTTAGTAAATAATTTTAAAAGTTATATAGTTCCATATCCGAGTAGGTTAGAATCGGATATCCACATCCGACTATGTTGGTTTCGGATATCCACATCCAATTAGTACTTTCACTTTCAATTGTTTTTATTGAAAATTAATTTTATTTATTTTAATACATTCATAAAATTATTTTATATTAATTAGAAATTATATAATACATTATAAACTCATAAATAAAATAAAAAAATATTAAACTAATATAAGAAGTATTAAAAAAACTAAAACTAATATAACAACTATACAATATTTGGAGGTACGAATAAAAGTCAAATATCTAAAAGCTTCCTAATCGAATGTCCTCATCCGACACCCCTACATCATCTCCAGTTCAATTTCGGTTTTTCCATGCAACCAGATTAACAAAAATAAAATACTCTCTATATGCAACCAAACAAGTATATGCACACAAATTAAAAAACAATACTAACCTCTCTTCAGCAAGAACGCAGAGAAAAATTAGCTAACAGGCTGCAAGTGCACCACCAGAGTAACTAAACCACTTTAAGCTATAATCGAACAATCTTTCTAGACAACACTCACTCACAGATACAAAGCTGCAAAGTAAAAAGCTCGAGTAAAAATATTATGAAAGAAGTTCATAGGTACACGGCTATAGTGTTTTTTTATAGAAATGAAATGAGGTGCAAGGATGCAAGGGATGCAGGGTGTAGAGGGTGTAGGGGGTGTAGGGGGTGCAGGAGTGAGGGGATGCACAGGTGCGCAGCAGGAATGCATGTTTGGTGATTGGAGGAAAATGGAGGTAGAGTCAAAGGGGCACAAAAATTCTTACTAATCAAAAAATTAAACTTTTAAATCACTTATTAATTAGGAGTATTTTAGGAAATTGGAAATGCAAGATGAAATGTTTGGAGGTACAGGGTGAAACACTCGCTTAATAGGAGTCTTGAAACAAATGGGAAAGCATATGGTGATGTTGTGGGCCGTATGATACACAGGCCCACAAACGCAAGCCGAAAGCCGAGTTGGATGAAGTATTTTTATTCTTATTAGAAAGGTTTGTTGAATATTTAGGATCCAGTTTTTATAGACTAAATTTCTACTGCAATCATGTCCATTATTTATATCATCCCATGGTGTGAAATCATGGTAATGAATAAAGTCTTTTTTGTTTGTCTTTTCTTATTTTGTGAGTGTCGCTGCACTAAAGGTAACAGTATTCGCTGCCTATCATATACAGTGAGTTTTAATATAAAATGATATTTTATTAATAGTCAATAATAGTGATAGAATCACAACACTCATATACCACAATACCAAAAAAAAAACTATACACATAAAATTAATATTTTACAAATATAAGTACACTAAAATTATAAAGGAAGTCACGGATTTAGCTAAAAATACTCAGCAAATATGATGAAATCAAATAAAGATAGATTTGAAACATTTAAATTTTTATCTGTCAAATTTAAGTATTTGTCATCTTTCATGAAAAACGAGAACGGGGGACATTGGGTACTAGAGTCCATAATATATTCTATATATTATGTATATAAATTTAATGTCGTATAAAACATGTGTCTTCCAACTACAAAGAAGTAATTCATTTCTAAAATTAATGGATCCTAAACAAAGATAAATGTTGGCTAAGTTGCCAACATCATGTGCTCGTGATGAAGGCACAGGCAAATCAACCAGACCAGATATGTCTAATTAGAATTACAATTTGTCAAAACCAATTTACAGATTAACCTGTCTCTCCAAAAATAAAAGGTAACTGCAGTTTGGTTTATCGTCATGTTATTTCTAGTTTTCTTTTAGAACCACATATACACTCAGGATATGGATTTTCATAAAAGGACTCTTCAGTCTTAAATCGTGCCCGGCCTTTGACTCCTGGTGGAGAACCATGCCTTTTCCTTGGAGCTCCTTGCCTACGTGTATAACATTGCAAAATATATAAATTCTTTTATTTTTATTACAGAGAAAATGAGATCAACTAAGGTTGCAAGGGAAAGAACTAGTAAAGCTTGTTAGATGAAGTAAGTAAGAATAATTAGATATCAAAAGGACAACAGGAAATATACTTCAAAAATAAAAGAAAAATGCAGTTTGTAACCAATTTTAACTTCTAATCATCATGTCATCTTGATAAGTGGATAATAAGGTCATAGAGGCGCCAAAGGGAGAGGAATCTAAAGAATGGTATGCAAGAATGATACCTGTTCTTGTGCATCCGCTGAACCATTTGCGACAGTTCCTTTCCTTCTTCAAGCACTCCAGTTTCCACCATATCAAAAATTCCAACCAGACCTTTCCTGAAGATCAAATGAACAAGAAAATAGGAAGGGGTAAATATGACGAATAGAAAAGTATAAATTCAAGTATTTTTCTGCATAAGCGAAATCCAGAATGAGATATTAGATCATTAAAACTTCTATGGCACAGCAAACATCATCGTTATTAAGCATGGTGGACATGCACCGCACTGTCCTGATACATACGAACATGCATCAAACGACAGTGTAAGAAACAAACAGAGAAAATAACAATGACCAAGCCTTTTCTCACTAAGGGAGTAGTCACCTGAATCAAATGATGCCATAATATTCTATGATGAATCATTCTATATGCTACTAACTAACATCTAAATCTTGTTGATGGTTTTCCTTATAATTTTCTTGTTTCTCTAAACCAAATAGGATACCCCCTATCTAATCTACTACATTTAGTGTAGCTTCAATGGGTTTCTTACACAAGTCCAATGCTGAGATTCTATCATTTTTTTACAACAAATACTATCCAGCATTCTCTGCAAGCACCCATTCCCAATCCCATTTTGTCTAGTATCTCCACTCATCCAATGCAAACAGATGTAAATAGCAGAAAAAAGAAAGAAAAACAAGAATGTACACCTACAGGTGGTTGAAATGTATCAACACGCCACATAATTATAATTAATGGATTCATTACCTGTCTGGATTGATTGTCTTGCGGTGACCTAAGAATCTGCGGTGTCCCTCAACTGCTCTTGCCATATTTCCCGAATATGACGGAACAAATACATCACTCTCTACGCATATTATGTAATCAAGTGCAGCAGTTTGGGAAGCATGATTAGTGAAATCTTTCAGCTCTTCAGGAGTTGCAAGGGATTCCTGTAACCATTAACCACAAATTAAGCAAGGCATAATTACACCTCACTCGCAAATTATGAGGTGTTGGATTATTGTTAACACAGAACAACAATGACTTACAAACCTTAAAGATTAGATTAGGGAAGCGGGATGAGAGCTCCGAAAGATGAGTATTACCACCATAGATCTCTCCAGCTGCTATGTATATTGGTGTGGATGGTGGGTATCCAAGAGCGTGAAGAAAAATGCCCACCTCCTTTGGAGTAAGTGGACAAAATCCTCCAATTCTCTGTTCTGTTGAATTTATCGCTTTTACTTTCCAATAATTTGTATTCTCCCTAGAAGAATCGAAACAGTTTTTTAAAAGAATCAGTACAACGATCACCTATTCTAGAGTTATACAAAAAGACATACATTTTTATCTCAACACATAGCAGCTGATACATAATAACTATTCTCTCTACCTCAAA